AGTTAACCCCTTCTCGCCCGGCGCGCGGGCAGACAAAGCGCGAGTCGCCCAAAGGGGGCGGGGCCGGGAGCGCTGACCTCCCTCCCTCCGTGGAGCCTCCAGCGCCCGGGGCAGTTTACCTGCCCCGCGTCCCCCAAGCCTCGCCCGCCTTCGCTGATCCCATGGAGGGCTGTTAGAGGGTTGGGGGGTGAGCTGAGCAGACTTGGGGTTCGTTTTCCCAGCCCGCTTGGATTGGGGGGGGCTTCAGGCAAGGCTGGGGGCAGCTTTCCTCCTCCTGATGGGGGTGCACTCCAGTTCCCATCCTCAGCGGTGAGGGCCCGGCAGTGGGGTCTTTGCCGGCTGCAGGTGTCCCCATCGGCCTCTTGTCTTGGACTACAGTTCCCATCACTCGCCTGGACGGGGATGCAAAAGCGTGGGGGGGATGCACGTATGGAGGAAGACGGGGGAGATATTAGAGACTGGGTAAGCCACCTGCCTCTATCCAGAGCTTGTGGGACTCCAAACTCCATCCCTGATGGGAGATGTAGTCTTTGGGGGCCGTAAGAGGGGAGAGGGCGCATCTTTCCGTCCTGGGGCCTGCAGGCTCAACTTCCTTAAAACCTTGCTTCTCCCCAGCGTCGATGGTTCCCGGCTTCCAGATGTCTCGGGAGACGAAATTCGCAATCGAGTGGGAGGTGGTGGAGGTAAAAAAACAAGCAAAAAATCCCACTTTCCCCCCCTCAAATCCCCTAAATTCCAATTAAACCAAGCTTTAGGACCCTGCAGGCCAGCATCAATACCTTGTTGCATTTCAAACCACCAAAGTTTGGCTAAGCGGGAGAAAAAAAGGCAAAACATCTGGAGGAGAGACAAAGGGAAGTCATTAACTCCCCGCCGGAAACTTTGTTGCATTCAAGTTTCTTTTTGTAAGTGATTGCAAAGCCCATTGAGGAAGAGGAAAAAGATAATAATAATAATAACTCATCAGGGAACGAACGAGACTATCTTCAGCAAGCCACAAAGAGTTCGTTCAGCCCTCCCCAAACCCTGCTTTTGTGCCGCCTGGAATTTTTCTCAAACTGTGTTTGTTGAAAGTAGAAGATGGTTTGTATGTCTCTGCCTGTGTTTTCCAGCTGGGAGCAAACGAAAAAAAACATGACAGTACAACTAACATAGTTTAAACCCAAACCTAGGCTTCATGTGGTTTATGCACATTTCCCCCCAAACCCAGGGAAAGAAAAGCAAGAATATTATGGGGGATTTTGAGTCAGCGGCAGAGTAATTGTTGCTTTGCCAAATTGCCCCAAAGTTCATTGCCTTTGACTGAACTCTGTCTTTTTGCACAGGGAGGAATATTTGGTGCTTGCGAATCTGAGAAACACAGGCCACCATTGAATCCTTCCTAACCAACAACTGCTTTCTAAATCTGAAATGCATATATATTTGTGGGTACTCTGAAAACAAGGTGTGCAAATGGCTGGAGAGGAAAAGAAAAAAAACCCTGCACGTTGGTTGGCTCGTTGTTTCATTTGGCCTAGCCATGTTGAGTCCCTCTCTTTGGATCTCCCTGTTATAAATTTAAAATGTTATCCATTTAAAAGAATGCTGCTGCTCCTTTGGCACCCTGTTCCTTTTTCAGAGTGGGGTGTAAATCTTTTTTTTTTTCTTTTTTCTTTTTTTCCTGGTGGTTAGTTCACCGTTTTTGTCCCTGTGCAAATGTTTGCTGTTTACTTGGATTATTTTTCAGTGTTACCTGAGGTGGCAGAAGACATCTCGCCAACTAGAGCGCGGACCATGAAGGATTTTGAAAACGTAAGTTGACGGAGTTTGGGGTGTGGCTGTGAGGAGAGGGATGTGGCTAGAAGCGTGTGCTCTTTGGATCTGGATCGGGCCTGGTTTTTTTTTTAAACCAAGTTTAGAAATGGCCTATTAAATGTAACGGGGGACGCGGTGGCGCAGCGGCTTAATGACGCTGAAAGTT